GACCACAGAAGGAAGGAAAAGGCCATGGAGAAAGACCACAGCCAGATAAGGATTTACACAGGGCAGAGAGAGACCAAACTTTCTGATAAAAGATAATCCTATTTGAATTAACATATCAACACTTTTCTGAAAAGTGTTCAAAACACCTGAGATAGGAGGTAAGCTAGAATTTACATCAGGTATTATCAAGCCCCTACAGTGTAAAGACTATGAGGTAAACCACTGTTTTTCAAACATGGCAACTTTAAGAAGTGTGGGCTTCAACCCCCAGAATTCCCCAGCCAGCATAGGGAATTCTGGGAGTTGAAATCCACAATCTTAAAACTGCCAAGTTTGAAAAACGCTGAGCTAAACTGAAATAAATAACAGAACATGATTTCTATAGCAACTGCCCTTGTAGTAATCACTCCGCTTCTAGGATCTTTTCTCCCTGCCAAACAGAAGTGCTATCCACCGACTATACAGTGTGACATTTGCTCTCCCTGCACCTACCCTGTTCCCAGTCATTGCAGTCACCTGATTTCTCTGCAAGATAATGGGTGACTCGGCCTACAGTTTTTGCACACCTTGAGACTTCCCTCACGTAGCGTAGCCGTAAGGGAGGAAATGCTATGTTAACACTGGTACAGCTGAGAATTACTGAAAGCTGTCTCGCTCATGGGCTGGGGATGAAATAAAGGCATTTTGGTGGGGACAGGGCAGGAGAAAAAAAAAGCAGCTGCCAGAGCATATACGTGCTGTGGTTAGGTACAAGTGAGGACATGCCCGTCTTCTCAATGCTCCCAGCAACAAATACTTGCCTCACTTGTACCCAAAGATTTCCTTGAGCTGACGGATCCAGTTTTGAACTATCAAAACCCCTGATCTCCGGTAATCTACATATTGATCTGTAAAAGCCAAAGCTTGCAGTGGAAGAAATCACTTGTAGCGGGTAATGGGCTCCAGTTCTAAGACCCTATTTTGTCTCCACCCCATCACCATTATTTTGGGCAGTGCAAGTTTGATTACAAGACACCATGAATTAAGATTAGGACTCCAAAATCTAAAAACTCCGTTGTACAGTATAGTATGTATAAAATAAACAAACCAGGTAGTGCTTTCAAAACTAAGTTTATGTTACAGTTACATAAACTTAGTTTTGAAAGCAC